TGAAGCTGTGCAGTGGGTCCTGCCACGCCGAGCAGATCCTGCAGACCCTCAACTCCTACCGGCACAGCGGCACCTTCACCGACGTGGTGCTGCTGATCGATGGGCAGGAGTTCCCCTGCCACCGTGCCACCCTCTCAGCCAACAGCACCTACTTCAGGGCCATGTTTGGCGGCGACCTCAAGGAAGGCCACCAGGACATCGTCAACATCCAGAAGATCTCTGCCTCCACCATGTCCCTCCTCCTGGATTACATGTACGGGGGGAACATCATCATCCAGGAGGACAACGTCGAGGGCATCCTGGAGCTGTCTGACCTGCTGCAGATCTCCAAGCTCAGGGATGCCTGCGTCACCTTCCTGGAGGGCCAGCTGCACCCGTGCAACTGCCTGGGCATCATGAAGTTCGCCGACTCCTTCTCCATCGCGTCCCTGACGGAGAAGAGCAGGAGGTTCCTGCTGGAGTGTTTCGTGGAGGTGTCGTGCCACGAGGAGTTCCTGGAGATGGGGGTGAAGGAGCTGGTGGGGTACCTGAGCGACGAGCAGCTGGTGGTGCCCAGGGAGGAGGTGGTGTTCGAGGCGGTGATGCGCTGGGTGCGCCACGACGCGCCCGCCAGGAAGGGGCTCCTGAGGGAGCTCCTGGAGCACGTGCGCCTGCCCCTGCTCAGCCCCACCTACTTCCTGGAGAAGGTGGAGATGGACGGGCTCATCCAGGACTCCAAGGAATGCATTCCCCTCCTGCACGAGGCCCGCAAGTGCTACATCCTGGGGAACGAGGTCGGCTCCCTGCGCTCCAGGCCCCGCAGGTAAAACAGCCCCAGCTTCCAGGACCAGCATGGACCCAAAGCTGATGGATCTCACAGTTTGATGATCCCTGTAGTTCGTGGTTCTTGGGTTGTTTCTTTTTTTTCTTTTTTTTCTTCCCCCCCCCACCTATTGCCTCGCTTTTGGCCTCTTTGCTCCCGAAACGAAGCATTGGAGTTGTTTGCCTGCCTTAAAGGATTCCTGTGGAATTTAATGCATGTGATGCTTTTTGTTTGCATTGTGCTCTAATCACAGCACTGTCCAATGATCCCATCAGGGAGGTGTCCAGACTAAGGGCAGGAAGGGGTGTTTTACCTCTTTATTTCCATCTGCTTCCCCCCAAGGGTAGAGCGCTGGGTTGAGACCTGTTTTCCATTCCCAGTTCTGCCACTGGTCTCCTTTCACCTCTTTGGATCTCTCCCTCACCTTCTCCAGACTGTTAAGAGGAAGGCTTGGAGCAATCCCAGTCCTGCTGGCCATCAGCACGGTGCTTAACTCAAAGGCATTGCTGCAGGGCCAGGAATTAGTATCCAGGGGGGAAAAGCAGTTACTGCCCTGGGACCCACCTAGACATGCCCAAATTATGATGTGTTTTTCTTCCCATTGATTTCCTGATGAACAATCAGAAGGTAAAAGAGATGCTGGCCCAGGCAGCTTTGGCCAGTAGGGAATTGTCTCAGCCTGCACAAAGCGTGGAGGAGCCGAGGATTGGACCAAGCCTTTCAAATCCTCTTTCATCCTCCTCCTTCCTGTCCCCTCCCTTCTCACAGAGAGGTTCTTTTCTCACCACCTCCTACTTGGCAGGACTTGCTTTCCCCTACCGTCTGTCTCGTCTGCTCGCTGCTGTTGGGGCTGGGAAGGGAGAGAGATTTCCTGGAAGCACTTCTCTCTCCAGGCAGAGAGCTCTCCCCAGGCAGGCTGCCAGGAGTGGCTTTGCACACTCCTGAGGATTATTGGGTCTGACTGTGCTGGAAGGGGGAGGGGGAGTGGCAGGAGCCAATGTCACTGTGGGCTTGTAGAGGTCATTCCCACTTCCCTTCCCTGTGCACTCTGGAGCTTTTCCCACCCGAGCTGGGGGGTGCCTTTGATCTGATGGTGCAGGGGTGAAATGATTTGCCCAGCAGATCAGCAGCTGAAGCGGCAGAGGGCTTTGCCTTCCCTCGGATGTCCCAAATAGGATGGGAGGGATGCTGGAAAGGATTGGCCTGGCCCAGGACTCACCCCTGCCCTTCCTGGTGCAGGTTCATGGAGCTGGCAGAGGTCATCGTGGTCATTGGGGGCTGTGACAAGAAGGGCCTCCTGAAGCTGCCCTTCACTGACCTGTACCACCCCAAGAGCAGGCAGTGGACAGCCCTCTCCAGCGTGCCCGGGTACACCAAGTCAGAGTTTGCTGCCTGCACCCTGAAGAACGACGTGTACATCTCAGGTGAGAGGGCCTGGGCCGGGTGGTCCCTTCCTGGGGATAAAGAACAGCACAAACTCTGCTTGGACAGTCACTCCTTAGGTCTGTTCACCAGGAATCCTTCACGTGTGTCCCAGCTTTGGAGCAAAATCACTTCTCAGTGAAGGTTATCCTTGGGTGGTTGGGATTTTTCTGTCCCAAGGAATAGTTTCACCTTTGAGGGGGGAGGATGGCAGTGTTAAAAACCCTTTCCCTTCTGATGGGCATCTGTCAGGAGTGTCCAGCTGTGGAATGAGGTGGTTTTGGTGGGTGCTGTCAGAAGGGGTTTCCTAAAACATCCGAGTCCCTGCGTGTCCCTCAGCTGAAATACAGTGACTGCCAGATGAGTTCTGTGAGAGGGATGGAACTGTGTAACAGGGCCTTGAATTCCAGGGAGAATCTCCCTTGGGAAGCTGGGTTTAACCCATAACCACATTCTGGCCATGGCTGCTCCATTGCCTGGGGGAGCTGTGCAGTGCTGTGGTGCAGGGAGGTGATGGGGCTGTCCTTGGGATCGCACCAGCCCTCCATCCCTCTGTTTTCCAGGAGGACACATCAGCAGCAGCGATGTCTGGGTGCTGAGCTCCCAGCTGAATGTCTGGATCAAGGTGGCTTGTCTGCAGAAGGGCCGCTGGAGGCACAAGATGGCAACGCTCCAGGGCAAGGTGGGCGACGGCCTGGGTTTGGGAAGGAGCCACGTGGAGCACTGTCCCCACTCCTCCTGCTGCCCCGGGCAATGAGGAACTGTCAGTGTTTGTATTCAGGGTCATCATGAGGGTGGGGAGGCCCTGGCACAGGGTGCCCAGAGAAGCTGTGGCTGCCCCATCCCTGGAAGTGCCCAAGGCCAGGTTGGAGCAACCTGGGATAGGGGAAAGTGTCCCTGCCCATGGCAGGGGGTGGGACTGGATGAACTTTAACATCCCTTTGAACCCAAGCCATTCTGGCACTCTGAGACTCATTCAGAGATGGTTTTGATGGGAGCACAACTGGGCCATAACCAACATGTCACTGTTTCAGAAATAGCCCCAAATGAAGTTGTGTCAGTAAGATCCACCCTGGGACGGTGCCACACTTCTGCAGGCAGCTGTGTTAAGCCTTTGGGTGAAAGCTGTGCAGTGTGGGGTGTTTCATGGCTTGGTTTGTGTTGGGAGGGACCTTCAGAGGTGTCGCTGTGGCTCTGTGTCACTCTGGCCGAGTCCTCCCCTCCCCTCCCACACCCTGTGACAGGGCAGCCCGTTGGGGTGACTCCAGGAGTTCCTAATCCCCTTGCTGTGCTCCTTCCGTGGCAGATCTACGCCGTGGGGGGCTTCGATGGCTTTTACCGCCTCTCCAGCGTGGAGTGCTACGACACCTTCTCCAACAGCTGGTCCAGCCTGGCCCCGCTGCCCCAGGCCGTGAGCTCGGCCGCCGTGGTCTCCTGCCTCAACAGGCTCTACGTGCTGGGAGGGGCTGTGGACGACACCTCCAACACGGACAAGGTACTGCTCGGCCATCAGGGATGGACAGAGACATGAAAAACAAGGTTTGGCAGGGAACCTGGAGGGAAACGGGGTTGTCCCTCAGCTACAAGGGTGCTTTTTTTTTTTTTTTTTTTAAGACTATGGGAAGCTCTGTTACAATGAGATGAGAAGTCATGCAGGGAAATAGAAGCCAGTGAGACTTGGGGACCAGAGAGGGAAGGTGTCAGGAGGTGACAGTGTATTAGATGTGCTTTCTGTAGAGCCTGGCCAGCCCTGAGACGTCACTGGAACAAACCTCCCAGGCCGTGGGTGTTCACTTCAGATCAGCAGCAACACGCTCCTCGTGCCTGGCCGTGCATCTGCAAGGCAGACACGATGCTTCTGGTCTCCTGAGCTGCAGGAAGAGCTGTCAGTGCTTCTGAACTCCCATCTCCAAATGCTGCCTGGGTCAAGCACAGCCACCCCGGGGTTTGCAGTTTGTCTGGGACACTGGAGTGCAAGGGGGTTGGAGCTCCCACCCGTGTTTCTGTCCCCGTGCACTTTTATTTCTGGTGAAGAGCAGCTTCCCCCAAGCAGGGGGATGTGGGGAATTCATGTTCCCACAGCTGTGTCTCCCCTCCCAGGTCCAGTGTTACGATCCAGAGGATGACAAGTGGACGCTCTTGTCTCCCACCCCGTTTTACCAGAGGTGCATCAGTGCTGTCTGCTTGGACAACATCATTTACGTTGTGGGTGGACTCCTCAGCAAGATCTTCAGCTATGATCCCAGGAAGGACAGCTGGAGAGAAGTGGCCGCCCTCCCTGGGCCTCTGGTAAGGAAGAGCTTTAGGAAAGAAGCTCTGGGTCTCCTCTCTCTCCCTCTCTAGAATCATGGCCATCTGTGCTGTGCTGGGGTTGAAGGCAGGGCAAACACATTGTGGGTTTGGCTCTGAGCATGTGGACGTGGCCTGTGCAGAGCAAATCAAGCACATGTCCTCACCATCAGTGTCCACACTGCCTGGAGGATCTCTCTCATAGCAAACCCAAGTTTTCCTGGGAAGCTGGGTCTACACCATCTATTCATGCCAGAGGAGTGAATCTCTGGGGATCAACACCAATTGGTGTTGAGGATTGTTCTCCACATCATCTGTTTCAGTGGGAGGGTTACACTGCTCTGCTCTGCTCTGTGGTGGTGGTTGTGTGTCCTGCTTTATTGCCACCACAGTCTGGCACTCACAGCCCTGCTGCAGCGTGAGCTGTGGCACGGGGAGGAGGAATGGTGGGACTCAGCTTGTGATCTGAGTTAAAACGCCAGGAAAGCACCTTTACAGGTGGCTTTCCCAGGGAAGCACGGCCTGGTTCCCTGTGCCCTCAGTGTTCCTGAGACAGCAACAGCCCCATCACTGGCTGGAGGCATTTCCAGTGCCTAAACTCTGACAGAAACAGTGAGAGTGCAGTCCCTCCAGAGCCAGACATCCATCACCCTTCCTGCCGGGCAGGGCAGAGTTGGGCCATGGCAGAGACTCAACGCTCAGCTGTCTGGGGCTGGAGGCCTGATCCCCAGCTTTCCTCGTGCTTTCCAGGAGAGCTGTGGCCTGACGGTGTGTGGAGGGAAGATCTACATCCTGGGTGGCCGGGACGAGACCGGGGAGGGCACGGACAAGGCGTTCACCTTCGACCCGGCGACGGGGCTGGTGGAGCCGCAGCCGCCGCTGCAGCGCTGCACCAGCTACCACGGCTGTGTGACCATCCTGCAGCGCAGGGACAGGTGACCACGGGGCTCCCCTGCGCCCAGAGCCTCCCCTGGAGCCGCCCAGCACGTGGCAACAGCAGCCCCTGCAGAGGAGGTGCTCCCCCAAGCCCCCGGGGCAGCCTCGGGTTTGTTTTTTCCCGGCCTCGCGACGGGTGCCGAAGGATTTGATGCTGATCCAGGTGAGAGGATGGAAGGGTCCTGGGCTGCGTGAAGCTGCATCACAGACCTTGCCACTGCAACCCCTGGGACTGCTGGATTTGACCTTTGCTTAGGTTTTTCCTGGCTGTAGATGAAAATCTTCTGCTGGATTTGCTGTCCTGAAAGGATGTGTGTTTGCTGCTCCCTGATGCCCAGAACTGCTGCTGTAACAGTTACAGCTCCAGGATCCAATCCTTTGGCTAAAAGCTGTCAGGTATCTGTGCATTTATTACAGAACCCCGTGCCAAACCCCAGTGGGGACCTAAATGCTCCTTAACATCCTCGAACGGAGAGCTGGGATTGGGACTTCAAAGTTGATGATCCCAAGAAAATCACTCCACTAAATCCCAAATAGTTCCAGCTCTGACTCTGCACAGTCTGTGTGAAGGTCTGTGCCCCCAAAGCACAGAGTGCTGTCTCTTTTCATGCCTGTTTTGTGGTTGGACTGCTGTGTCTCTCTCACTGAGTGGACAAGTGAATCCTGCAGCCAAGAGTTCCTTCTTCAGAGAGGAGAAGGAGGGGGAATATTAAGGTGTAGGAATTAAGCATGAAGACCTGAAGCATGGTAACCACAGAACTGTCTCATTTTGGCTCTGGAGTACGTAGCAAATCTTAAATAAACTCCATATTTGCCAGCCTGGGGTCCCTGGGAGCCTGAGTGTGCAGCTCGTTTGGAGGATGTTTGATCACACACCCTGCGTTGCTCCAAGCTGCCCTCAGGTCTGGAAATGACCCTGAGCATGTTTGATTTGGTAGGATAACCGTAGTTTTTGGTGTTGGTGTCTTTAGTCCGTGCCTGGAACTGGTGATTCCTGGTGGCTCCATGTAAATGCTCACATTGTTCAATTAGGGGCTGAACTGCTGCCAAATGTAGAGTGAGGGCTCTTAAAAACACCCCCTACCTTGGGCACTGTGGGGTGCACCCCTCCACAGCAGGCTGCTGGCTGGCTGCTGTGCTCTCTGCACCTTCCTTTCCTCATCCCAGTTCTTCCTGAAGCAGAGGAAATGACTGTGGCCAGCTATTCCCCTTCGGTTGTCCCAAACCTGCTGGTTCTGCCTGCTCCCCCCTGTGCTCACCACTAAACCAAGTCCTCAAGGGCCACATCCACGTGTTTTCTGAACGCTCCCAGGGGTGGTGACTCCACCACTTCCCTGGGCAGCCCCTTACAATGCTTCAAAACCCTTCCCATGACATGTTTTTTCCCCCTAATATCTAATCTAAGCTTCTCCTGGCACAACTTGAGGCTGTTTCCTCGAGGATTTCCTCAGAGGAGATTCCACGCTGGTGTAGGTTATTCCCACGAGGAGAGAAAAGGAAATTCCTGCTGGTAAAAGGCAATTTTATTTGCAATCAGATTGCATCCACATTTGGGTCTTTAAGGGGAACGGAGATTCCAAGAGGATGAGCCTGCCCAGGGCAGGCACCGAGCAAAATCTGACCTGCTGAGGAGGCTGAGCACTGTGGGGAATCCCTGGTAAAAGGGATGGTCCCCATGCCAAAGGTAAGCCTGAGGAATGTGGAATGGGGCTGGGAACACAGCTGATCTTGCTTGGCTGCTGGTGGTTCTTTGTGCTCCTGCTCTTGAGCACAGGAATATATTTGGACATAGCAACAGCCTTGAAAGGAAAAAAGAGGAGTTTTCCAGTTGCATTTCCAACTTCTCTCTCCACAGTCCTCCCTGATTTTTCCTAATGCCTCCTCCCGGGAGTGTCTTGCTGTACTTCCCACTTTATTCCTGTAGGATGAGCACACTCCAAAGGGTGGAAGATGTCCCTGTCAGCTTTCCCACGTGCTTTTGCCACGTGTGGTGTGTTGCCATAGGTGGGACGCGGTGCTGGAAGTTGTGGCACAGACACTGAAACATTTGCCTGCTATTTATTGTACCCCTGAATTGTGTTTTGTAGGTGTGCAGGGGAGGGGTAGGGAAGGGATTCAACTTGCTTTTATTTAGAAATAAATATTCACCTTGACTCCCAGCTGCTTTTTGCTGCAGGGAATTCATTTGTGCCTATGGCATTCCAGAAACATATTGTTGATGGAGCATCCCAGGAGCCTTGGGAACACCGTCCTTGAGGTGTCCCAGCCTTTGTCTGGGGTACCCAAATCCTCACTGTGAGCAAGCAGAAAGTTCAAGGTACTGCTGTTTGTCTGCAGGGAATGATATCTTTAACTATCACATGGAATCATGGCCGAGTCAGTGTAGGGGAGGTGTTTGGATAATTCAAACTCTGCTAAGGATGGGGAAAATTTGACTTGTGCTTTGGCATGAGGGAAAGAGAAACCGAAAAACTGTTTGCCTGGGCTGTCTCTTGCTCTGCCTTGGTGTGGCAGAAGGACACAGAGCTCGGAACTGCCCGGCACCACGACGTGCTTCACATCCCGAGAGGAATTCCCTCAGCCCACGGGTGAAGCATCTCCTGGCCGTGTTCCCAGCAATGCCCAGACTTGCTGTGGGAGCTCTGCATGGCAAAAGCTGTAGAAGGAAGTAGTGATCACCTGCAAAGCATGTGCAGGAGGCTCAGCTTGATGTGTTTAAGCTTTGAGAAACAAAATAAATTACTTATTTCTTTGCGCTCCAACTGTCAATCGCTTCCAGTGGTACCCAAACCATCCCTTCCTCCCCCATCCCTCTGGTTTTCCTGCTATTTCCTGTTATTTTGGGCATGTTAGCGTTATGGATGGGAACCAGGGGGAAGAAAAAGCTTTTTGTGGACAAACCCCACAGGGTGGTGTAGGCAGCAAGATCTTCAGGGCCTGATAACGTTTGTCCACGACACAAAACCCAGAAGAATTATAAATAACCAGGCAGACAGGGCTGCTGGGGGAAGCAAGTGGAACTGCTTGTAGTAAACAAGGCAAAAATGGCCTTTTCCATCCTTTCCCAGGAAGAAAGTCCACTGTACCCCTCAGAGGTAGAAACTGGAGCCTCCTCCACAGTTAGGAGGGAAAAGGGATCCCTCTAAAGAGTGAGCCATGGAATCCCAGAATGGTTTGGGTTGGAAGGGACCTTAAAAACCACCCAGTCCCACCCCCTGCCCTGGGCAGGGACACCTTCCACTAGCCCAGGTTGCTCCAGCCTGGCCTTGGACACTTCCAGGGATCCAGGGGCAGCCACAGCTTCTCTGGGCAACCTGTGCCAGGGCCTCCCCACCCTCCCAGGGAAGAATTCCTTCCCAATATCCCACCTAACCCTGCCCTCTGGCAGTGGGAAGCCATTCCCCCCTCGTCCTACCACTTTCTGCCTGTGTAAACACCCCTGTGCTCCATCCCCTGGGGATGTGGGAGCTCCTTTGCCCCGGGCTGCCCAGCTGGCAGGAGATGATATCACCTGGGGCAGGAGGGCAGGGCTGCAGGTCCCAGCTGAAGGGATGAGCTGGAGCTGATTAATTCAGATTAAGGGCCATAACAGCCAGCTGGGAGCTGGTGGGCAGAGATAAAAGCAGTCTCACTGGCTGTCCCTCCGGGTTTAAATATCCCCAGGAGAAGGAAGGGGAGGAGGGAACCATTGTCGGATTTATGGCAAGGCTGACGTTTGCAAGATTTATTTCCTATTAAATTCAAATCGTGGTAGGACCAGCAGGGATCTTGAGACCCAGTCCTTGGCTTGAACACTGGGCACTGACAGTCTGAGGGGGTCTAACACTGGTTATTGATGGTCTGAGCAGGGTCTAACACTGGTCACTGACAGTCTGAGGGGGTCTAACACTGGTTATTGATGGTCTAAGAGGGATCTGATTATTGATGGTCTGAGCAGGGTCTAACACTGGTTAGTGACAGTCTGAGGGGGTCTAACACTGGTTATTGATGGTCTGAGGGGGTCTAACACTGGTTATTGATGGTCTGAGCAGGGTCTAACACTGGTTATTGATGATCTGAGCAGGGTCTAACACTGGTTATTGGTGGTCTAAGAGGGATCTGATTATTGATGGTCTGAGCAGGGTCTAACACTGGGCACTGATGGTCTGAGGGGGTCTAACACTGGTTATTGATGATCTGAGGGGGTCTAACACTGGT